AAAGAGGTGAGTGCTGAGGAGCAGTGAACAGATGCACAAGGAATGAGAACTGCACGTTTGCTCAGTGTTGATCACGAGCCAGGTGCTGAGGGGATCATCTTGGATGTTCCAATAGGAAAAGAAGACAATGAACAACAGAGAGAGGGACAAAAAAACTCAAGTCTTTAGGAAAGCAGATTGCAGAAAACCCAAAGGGAAAAAACGGCTGATCTCAAGGCCTGAAATTATAATGACAAAAATAAAGTCAAAAATCCCTAAATATGAATATGAAAAGTGACCCTAAGAGAAGGCAAGAACACTTGAGCTAGCACAACTTATCCAAAGGGTAAATTAGTGACAAAGAGAATGAGAATGCACAGATCTGAAAGACTGCTGCAGTGACAGAACGCAGGCGCTAGACGGCAGGCAGCACCTCCACAAAGAAAAGACAAACAAATCCAAACCCACAAAGAGACTAGAATGAGCACACCACACTGAGTGGGGGCGGCAGCCTGTGGGCAACTTGCCATCTTGTTCTACTTTTACTTTCCAATGTTCCTTGGTGATCAAAAGTTATCTGTAAAACACCTAATGAAGAAAGGGTTACAGAGCAGCATGATCCAGCTTATCAAAAGTGCTGACCGTTTTTGTAAGCACTTAGATGCAAGAAAGAAAAGGTAGAACTGCTGGCTTATTTTGCTGTTCTACTGAGAGCAGAGCCAAAATCCAAGCTAGTAAACAGCAGTGTAAGAATGCACTTGAATAGATTTAAACCTTCTAGTTCAGAATGACATTCCAACATAGTAATTCAAACACGAAGCAGTGGTTCAGAATTAGCAATGATCTCTAAAATGGAGCAGGGGAAGAAAGAAGTACCTGGAAGCCTAGAGAAGGACTAATTCTGTACTGATTTCCACAAAAGAAAAGGAAATTCCCAAACCAAACTGAAAAGCTTATTGTCAGCCTCTGAAATTTAATAAAAAGTAGCTTATTGGACAGAATCTATGATCCCTTAAGACACCAAGTTTTTCCCATAGGAAATGATGTAAGTACAGTAAGAAAAAGGCCATACTACCCTCATTTGTGTTTTTGACAGGATTACTAAGTGAAAAAAATCCAAAGAATACCGTAGGCGGTATTCCACTGAGAGTTAAGTTACAGACCAGCTATTCCCAACGATGTTATTGCCAAAATGAAGTGGGAGCCTGATGGTAACAGAGTAAGGTTTATAAGCAGTGCATCTATGCTTCACTATGTGCACAAGATGGGAATACAACATTCAGTGACAGCTAGATCAAGAAAGGGAAACTACACATATTAAGTTGGAGATGACAGTAAGGAAGACAGCTAGAGATGAAAAGCAAAACAAACAGCTGTGGTGGTGCACACCTTTAACCCCAGGACTGCCAGGAGATAGTGGAAGGAAGGTCAGAACTTCAAGGTCATTGCAGCTACACAGCAAATTTACAGCTAGGTTGGGATTCAAGAGATTCTGTCTCAAAACAAGTACCACCGAAAAAAGAAAGACAAGGGATAGGGAGATGGCGCTGGCTCAGTCAGCAAAGCCTTGTAGGCATGAGGACCTGAATCCATATAAACGAGCTGGATGTGGCACACTTATAATCCCAGCAGTAGGGAGGTGGAGCCAGGCTAATGCCTGGGACCCACAGTCCAGTCAGCCTAGCCTAGTAGGCTAGCACAGTAAGAGATCCAGTCTCAAAGAGAAAAGAAAGGATGGACAGTGCCTCAAGAACAACTGAGATAGTCGTTACGCTCTGGCTTCCACATGCATACACACTTGTGTACCTGCACACATATGAACACATACATTTCCATACAAACAAGGATAAAAGGTAAGAGTTGAGGGGCTGGAGAGATGGCTCAGCGGTTAAGAACACTGACTGTTCTTGCAGAAGACGCAGGTTCGAATCCCAGCACCCACATGGCAACTAACAACTGTCCATAACTCCAGTTCCAGGGGATCCGACAGCCTCTTCTGTCCTCTGCGGGCATTGCACGACACGGGTGCACTTACCTACATGCAGGCAATACACACATACACATAAAATAAAAATAATAAATAGAATAATTTTTTTTAAAAAAGGTAAGTGCTATTAATAGACTAAAAATGACTAAAAAATCATGTCAACAAGACATAATTTAACAGAGTAGAAGATGAGAAAGACTGTTTCGACAGGCCCAGTCCTACAGAAAAAACCTAGCCGCCCTAACAAGAGGACAATACTGCATGACTGGCCAACAGAGAAGACAGAAAGCAACAATCCTGCCACTCTCTCCATAAACCTCGTGTATCTAGAGTCTGTCTACACAGCATCTTAGGACATTGAAAAACTGGAAAGAGAGATCAGAAAGACATGTCAATATAAAAGAAAGTTGGGCAGGGACAAATGAGGTAGTTCACACCAGTAATGCCAGTACTTCAAGGACTGAGGAATAAGAACTACCCAAAAAGCTCAAGGTCAGCCTGGACTACACTTTGAGATCCAGGTCATCTTGCGCTAGACTGAGACCCTGTCTCAAAAGAAAAAAGGGACAGTGAGTCTGTATTTCCATTACCTGAACAGTTACAGTGTCAACAAGCAAAGGACTTAAGGTGTTATTCTAAAAGTCACACAGCAACCACCAGACAGAAGTTCCTAGAAAGCAATGTTCTACACAGAAGTATCCAAAAACAAAGCTCCTGTCATAATTCTCATACCATCTCTAGATGCTCAGGCAGAGGTAAAAGGGCCTGCAGTGCTGGGAAGGAAGTTGGTCCCTACTAATCATGAAAGCTCTAATCTTGGAGATGTAGGAACCAAAGCAATTTGGCAATGAGATATTCTGCAAACAGGTCACTTACACATACGCAGGCATGACATTTACCCACATAAAAATAAATAAGACAATGTAAAAAAATGATATTACTGTGGTGATAAGACTGATACACTGCCTACTGTGCTAAGAAAGTGACTATTATTGGTATTAATAAAAAAAAATCATATGACACTTGGTATAGCTGTGTCAAAATATCTATTCCAATTCTTCCTCCTTGCTTAAGTGACTACATAGAAGAATGTCAGAAAATACCTAACATTATTGGACACCAAACTATGTGCCAAGCACCAACCATAGAATTACAACATTTGTTAGACCCCCAACAATTCTGTCTGAATTGCTGTCTTCCTAGATGAGAAAACTGAAGTTTATAGAGGTTAGACAATTTACCCAAGGATACAGAGCTAGAAAGTGTATCTGAATCCAGGCAGTTGGGATTCAGAACTTTGGTTCAAAACCAATGGTTCTCATTTCTAGTTGCACATTAAAATTACTCAGGACAGGGCTGGACAGATAACTCAGCAGTTATGAGCACTGGATGCTCTTCTAGAGGACCAGGGTACAGTTTCCAACACCCAAATGGCTACCAAAAACTGTCAGTAATTTCCATTCCAGGGGATCTGATGCCCTCTTCTGGCCTCTGCAGGCACTGCACACATGTGGTGGGTGCACTTACATACATGCAGGTAAAACATTCATAGACATAAAATAAAAATAAATTTTTTTTTTTTAAATGGGGGCTGAAGAAATGGCTCTGTGGTTAAGAGCACTGGCTGCTCTTGCAAAGGACCCAGGTTCAGTTCCCAGCACTCACATAGTGGCTGACAAACATCTGTAACTACAGTTCTGGGAGAATCTAACATCCTCTTCTGCCCTCTGCAGACACTGCACGACACAGTGCACTCTATTATTAAAATAGTTTTTAAAAAGTTACCTCCAGGACTTATCCAACCATAACCACCCCAAATTCTAGTTTAAATTCATCTGGATGGGTAAGGTTCCCCAGAGTTCAGAAACACTATTTGGATCATCACACTTAAGAATAATTTAGGGCTGCACAACAAAATGAGCAACCTTCCCAGGCTGACGTCAAGGCAGACCTACTGTCCTTTTAATAAAATACGTGCAGAGCTGAGCATGGTGGAACAGGTCTATAATCTCAGCACTTGGAAGGTGGAGGCAGAAGGATCAAGAGTTCAAAGCTAGCTTCGGGTACACAGTTTGAGGCCAATTTGAGCCACATTAAGACTCTTGTCTCTAAATCAACACCCCCCTCCGCACCCCCCCCCCAAAAACCTACTGCAGAATCATAAGATTCATATTGCTTTTCCTTTTTTCTTTTTTTTGGTCTTTTTGAGACAGGGTTTCCCTGTAGCCCCAGCTGTCCTGGAACTCACTATGTAGACCAGGTTGGCCTTGAATTCACAGAGATCCACCTGCCTCTGTCATATTGTTTTTTTCAATAACAGGAAATATATTCGTGACTAAATTTTAACCCCAAAGCAAGCAAGCCTATTAAGGTAGGTATCATCTTCCCGTTTTACAGACAAGGTTCAATAACTTGTCCTAGTCACAAAAGAACTGGCACTAATTTCCAGGAGGGTTTGTGACCTTAAGAGCTTCAACACAAGAGTATATATATATAGTCAGGGATACTTGGCATTTTATTGAAATTCTATTTCCTCCTTTGTAAAATGATGGATAAAACACATTCCTTGGGACTAGAAAGATGGCTCAGTGGTTAAAAGCACTGACTGCTCTTGCAGAGGACCCAGGTTCAATTCCCAGCACCTACATGGCAGCTATGAACCGTCCTTAACTCCAGTTCCAGGGGAATCCAAAGCTCTCTTCTGACCTCCATGGCATTGCATGACACAGGTGCACTCACATACATGCAGGCAATACACTCATACACATAAAATAAAAATAATAAAATATTAAAAAAATATATAGAGAGATATATTCCTCATAGGGTTGCTATAAGAAACAAATTTGCAATGTACTTAACACACTGCTTGGTAAAAAAGTTCCCAACAAATAGGAGCTTTTCTTTCACTCCTTCAGCATGCTTACTGAGCCTTTGCTTTCATCAACCAAACAAGACTAAAGAAACACACATGTCACAGAGAAAGTCACTCCTGGAGTACTATGGAAAATTGCCCCCAGGGGTAATACCCTGTTACCTTTCTTCATCATGTCTCGGTCCAAAGCTACATTTCTCTGGGCAAGATTTACTTCTGATCGAAAATGGAAGCGCTTCGCTCGCTGTTCTTTCTTTTCAATTGCTTCCTAGAAAGTACAAAAAAAGTCAAAGTAAAATCAGGATGAGGAAAGCTATATTACAAACAGAACATGTTACAATCCTAAAGTAAGTCAGAAGAAATAAGCAACCATGTGCCTTGAATCTGTTCTTAGGCTGGATAGGCAGAGCCTACAGTAACCATGCTATAATTCTATCACAGCCTATCACTACACCTGGAACATAGGAGGAATTCAATGAGCATTTATTTATAGTTTTCTGATATTTCATATTATTAGCAATCATGCCAAAATATTACAATAATCTCAACATCTCAATTTTCCAAGTGCAGACAGATAAGAAAAGGTTTTCAGGAGATGTTTCAACTAGCTAAGGGGGCAGAGCTGATTCTAGTGCTATTTCTAGGAGCCCCACAACTACCACCACCTCTTTACACTGTCTGTGGGCATGGTAATCACACCTATTATGCTCTTCCTTATCATGTCTGCCCGAATGGTGCACTCCCTAAAAGCTACACCCCCATTTAAAAATAACAGTGAAACAAAGACACTGTCTCCTCTATTCCAGCCTTATGTGCATGGAATTGCCAGTTTCATTTTTAAGTGACAAAAAGTGTAGACATTTTGCTGAAAACAAACAAACAAACAAACAAAAAAACCATTCAGTTTTGCAAATTTCTCCCAAGGGCTAAAACAAATTCCAGTCCACCTGTGACTTTCTGATGGCTCTCAGGAGTCTTCACTAATTGTAGATCGACTTTGCACACTAACCGAGGGTCTGACTATAGAAAGCTGTGGGCGTTCGGAAAGCAGCAACATTCCTGTAATTCCCAATAGTACTGCTTATTTTTTCACTGATGTCTTCCCAGTACAAAAAAACAAGCTTCTTTTCTTTCTGCGGTGTATGCAGTATATGTGTGTGGGTAGATACACACGCACATGTGTGTGCATGTGTTTGGATATGCATGTGTTTGGATGTGCATGTGTTTGGGGCCAGGTCTTCCTAGGCACTGGGATTATAGATGCACACTACTACACCCAGTTTTCTGCGTGGGTGCTGGGGATTAAAACTCAGGTCCTTGTGCTTACATAGTAAGTGCTTTACTGACTGAGCCATCTCCCGAGTCCCATCCTTTAGTAACAATTTAAGTACCAACTCTTTTTCTCATGTAGGATTAAGAGTAGTCTGCTTCTTAATTACTGTAAGAAAACATTTTTATTTTATACAATTTTTTGACTGTCTAGAAGATGATCAGTTCTTTCTTCTGGCCTTTAAGTAATCTGAGACAGATTGAGATAGGTAAACTATAGAAAACTAAGTATGACTTTTTTTTTTACTTTTGCTTTTAAGTATCTAATATTATCAAGATAAACTATTATTTAAAATCAAAATAGATGCCAGGCATGGTAGCGCACACCTTTAATCCCAGCACTTGGGAGGCAGAGGCAGGCGGATCTCTGTGAGTTCAAGGCCAGCCTGGTCTACATAGTGAGTTCCAGGACAGCTGGGGCTACAGAGAGACCCTATTTCAAAAAGACCAAAAAAAAAAAAAAAAATCAAAATAGAGGGCTAGAGAGATGGCTCAGTGGTTAAGAGCACTGGCTGCTCTTGCAGAAGACCTGGGTTTGAATCCCAGCAATCATCTGTAACTCCAGTTCCAAGGGATTCGTCGCCCTCTTCTGTCCTCCATGGGCACTGAATGACATGGGTGCACTTACACACATGCAAGTATAACACTCAAACACATAAAATAAAAATAAATTAATTTAAAAAATAAAATAAAATTGAAGTAGAAAACTGTTTTCAAACTTAACTGTACACATTTAAATCAGGAAAAAAAAATGTCTTAAGCTGGATTAAACCAATGTACTGGCTTTTTATCACATGGAAAATAAGAGATTCCCCATTGAGGTATTACATGAAGCTGGTACAATGCTGTTAACAGCAATCACTAGACAAAAGACAATACTGTTAGGTGCTAGGAATCATTCAGTTGACATGGCCTTCAAAATTTAGACAGGCATACAACCAAAAAAAATTTTTTTAAATCTTATTTTTCTTTCTTTTTTCTTTTTTTTTTTTTTTTTTTTTGTTTTTTTAAGATTTTTTTTTTAATTTTTATTTTGTACATATGAATGTATTGCCTGCATGTATGTAACTGCACCCATGTCATGAAGTGCCCGTGGAGGTGAGAAGAGGGTGTCAGATCCCCTGGGACTACAGGCGTGTACCACCACACCCAGCATTATTTTTCTTTTTTAAAAACTATTTATTAGTTTTATTTTATGTGCATGAATGTATTACCTGCATGTATGTAAGTGCACCCATGTCATGCATTGTCATGACTGACCAAGGAGGTCAGAAGAAGGCATCGAATTCCCCTGGAACTGCAGTTACAGATGGTTATTAGTGACCATGTAGGTGCTGGGAATTCAACCCAGGTCCTCTGCAAGAGCAACCAGTGCTCTTAACTGCTGAGCCATCTCTCCAGGCCCCAAACCCTATTTTTCTAAGTCACAACCAGTAAAGAATAGAGACTTACTAAGGGACTATTTACATGTTGGGTGTTTTTTATATTTTTTAATTTGCTTTTATTTTATGTGTATGAGTGTACTGCCTACATGTATTTAAGTGTACCCATGTTGTACAATGTCCACATAGGTCAGGAGAGGGTGTCGGATCCCTGGAACTAATAAACGGTTATTAGCAACCATATGGATGCTGGGAATCGAACCTGGGTCCTCTGCAAGAGTGGCCAATACTCTTAACCACTGAGTCAACTCTCCAAACCCACTTTTTACGTTCTTATTGAAAGTGAAAACAAAACACACTTTTTTGGTGTCTTTTTGAGACAGGGTCTCCCTGTAGACGCAGTTCGCCTGGATTTGCTATGGAGACCAGGCTGGCCTCTAACTCATAGAGATCCACCTGCCTCTGCCTCTGCTGGGATTAAAGGCATGCACCACCACACCCAGCCAAAATACACTTTTTAAAAATTTATTTTTATTTATTTTTATTTTATGTGTTATGCCCGCATGTGTGCACCCATGTTCTGAAGTGCCTGGAGATGACAGAAAAGGGCATCAGATTCCCTGGAACTGGAGTTACAGACAGTTGTTAGTTGCCATGTGGGTGTTGGGATTTGAACCCAGATCTTCTGCAAGAACAGCCAATGCTCTTAACCACTGAGCCATCTCTCCAGCCCCCAAAACACAATTTTAAGATTGGAAATAAGCTGGGCATGATGGTACATGACTTTAATTCCAGCACTTGGGAGGGAGAAGCAGGTGGATCTCTGTGAGTTGGAGGCCAGCCTGGTTTACACAGCAAGTTCCAGGCCAGCTGGGGCTATAAGGAGACTGCCTCAAAAAGAATTCCCCTGCCAAAAAAGTGGAAATAATAAAGTAAGCATTCCTGAGGCTAAGTAAATGGTTCAGTTGGTAAAAATGTTTGCCATACAAGCCTGACAACCTGAATTTGAATCCCCAAAACACATGAAAAAGCCAAGCATGGTGGGGCATAAGCCTGTAATGCCAGCACTCCTACAGCAGAGAGGGAGATGGAAGGTGGAGATGAGAGTCCCCCAGAAGTTTGTAGGCCAACTAGCCTAAAGTCTGCAGTGTAATGGAAAATGAGGTATCTTGTCTCAAAAACAAGGTAGAAGGTGAGGACCAAGACCTCAGGCTGTTCCCTGACCTCCACACGTGGGCCATGACATGCACACGTCCTAACATACAAAACACGTACATGAACACATCATACTCAATAATAAATATTAAAATTAGCATTCCCAGTGCACACTCTTTCTTGGAAATGGTTAAAGACAAGCACTTAAGTATAGATTATCTTTTCACAGATACAAGTACACACAAATGCTGCTTGTTTTAGGAATGTTTTAAGGATGTTTTAAGGAAATATAACGGCATCCTTGGGTAACAAAAATAATTTAAGAACTTTTCTTAAAAATTTTATTATTTATTTTATGTGTATGAGTATATTGCCTGCAAGTATGTGAGAGCATCCGTGTTGTGCGATGCCGCGAAGGTTAGAAGAGGGCTTCGGATTATCCTGGAACTGGCGTTAAGGACGGTTCGTAGCTGCCATGTGGTTGCTGGGAATTGAACCTGGGTCCTCTGCAAGAGCAGTCAGTGCTCTTAACCCCTGAGCCATCTCTCCAGCCCTTAGGAACATTTTTTTTTTTTTTCTTTTTGAGACAGGGTCTTTCTGTAGCCCCAGCTGTCCTAGAACTTACTATGTAGACCAGGCTGGCCTCGAACTCACAAAGATCCACCTGCCTCTGCCTCCCAAGTGCTGGGATTAAAGGCATGCACCACCACACCCGGCTATTAAGAACATTTTTAAATCCAGCAACAAAAGCAAAAAGGAAGTATATTTCCTGCCAGTCCTAAGGACCAAGTTCATTCAGTTCATCTGCTTATCAAGCTAAATAAATAAATCACATTGTGCCTTACCTTGGAGGTGACATCAATCCCAGTGATGAAGCTGCCAGCCTTGTTTTCGTATCTTCTGCTTGTGTCCTAACACAAGAGGAAGGGTGAGAAATCTGACAGCAAATATCCATGATAAAAGGCAGCCTTACAACTGGTTCTTTCTGAAGCCATTCTTTTCAGCAACCCTTCTCCACTTCAACAACCCCTTGTTAAGAAGAATCCCATCTCCGCGACTCCACCGTAGCAATCAACCATTCTAATAAGAAGTCTTTTCTAGACCACAGGCCAGAGCCTGTTCAAAATAGTAAGTAATTCTGTCAACTGGAAAGTATCTATGTAAATTAAAATCTGAAAGCTTTTGTAAAAAACAGTCCCTTTAACTCCCCAACCTTGATTGGACAAATTTCCCATGAAAGGCCACCAGGTGGAGCAAATGCCTTCACCAAAATGCAAAGTCCAGACTTACCTAGATCTCTGGGAAACACAGCCCAAGACAATGAAAAGAAGATGGAATTTTGTTTTGTTTTGAGGCAGGGTCTCAGTATGCAGCCCTGGCCAGCCTGGAACTTGCTATGTACACCGGGCTAGCCTCAAACTCACAGTATCACCTGCCTCTGCCTTGGGAGTGCTGGGATTAAAGGTGTGTGCCACCAGGACCCGCTGAGGATGGAAAATGGAAACCGAGGACTAAAATCTCAGCTTTGACACTCACTAATTACAACACACCATCAATTCCTTGGACATCTCTGGGTCTCAGTTTCTTCTGTGCTGTCTTCCTGACCTCTTTTTCTGCTCTGTCTTTTGTGCTGCTTATTAGAACTCAACATTTCTCAAAAAAAAATCTTGTTTCCCCCATCTCAGATACTTTGTGCTTGATGCCGTATCTGCTGGGAGTTTCTCCCTTTCAACCACATGGCTGGCCCCCTTTTGTCATTTATGGTTCGACTTAAAAGCCACTATCTCATAGTAGACTTCCCTGTACATCCTGATATACACTGCTTCCCACCCTCCTAGCCACTCTACTTTCTAGCCTAGTAACAGGTTTTGTTTTCTTTGTAGCACTTATCACAAAAGGAAATTATTTACTTGTGCCCCCTACTAGGACTGAATTACAAGTGGGTATTGGATCTTGATCAAGCACCTAGGATTATGCCTGGTACACAGTAGGAATGCAATACATACATGTTAAACTGAATGAATGAATGAATGAATGAATGACATCTACATCATAAGTGCAATGAAATCTAAATGATATAATGCAGTAAATGGCAAAATTGTTGGTATGTTGTCACCAGAGTCATTATCATTGGTTGGTCATCACTACCTTAGCTTTTTCTCATAACTTCAGTGTAAAAGCAAGTTTTTTAAAAAAAAAAAAATAGGTCATGCTGTGTGCAAAAACTGAGCTATCCAAACTTCAGACCAGCTCTAAGAACTGGGCATGTGACTGCCAAACCACAAGCAAAACACTCCTCCTCCCACCCACTGTGGCAAAAGAGCGATCCGAGGGCCATTGCTGGTCCCTTGGTACTCTAGATTGCACTGCAGGTCAGAAGCTGGTGCAGACGCAGAGAAGGTGAGCGCGGGGGCAAGATGACCCTCACCCACAGCAGAGCAAGTCAGCGTAGCTGACAGGTCCAGCCCTCCTAAAGAAAACACCAACTCCGCCGAGGCAGGACCCACCACGCGATCCGGGCTCTGCTCCCGCCGACAGCTCCCCTTTATCTCCAGCCGGCCGCGGCGCATTCGCTCCGGTCACAGCCCGACCCGAGGGGCAGCCCAAGGGGTGTCCCCAACTCTTCCCAGCTCTCCCGCCTCTTCCAGCCCTCCCAGCACCCATTTCCGGGCGCCCCGGCGTCCTTTCTCTCGCGGCCAAGCGCGGCGCCCGACCCTCGCGCCCTTCTCTGGGTCCCGGACTCCCCCCGCCCGCCGCCCGCCGCCTCCCCGCCTAGCCCCCACCTGCAAGGGACACTCGCTCGGCGACCTCCGGCTCGGCCCCCGGCCCCCGCCCATACCGGGAGCAGTTCCTTCAGCGAGCGCCGCACCGGCACGATCTCCAGCTCGCCCTCCTCCACCTCCATGGGCTCCGGCTCTCCCCGCTCCAAGCTGGACTCCACCTCTGGCGACGGAAGCCCCAGGGCCGGCCCCGCCGGGGCCTCTGCCTTCACCGACACTCGCAGGCCACGGACGGCCGCCATAGCTGCCTGCCGGCCTTACCACTGAGAGCCCGTTCCTCACACTCGCTGGCTAGAGCACCGCCGCCACTGACCACAGACGAGCGCCGCCGCCAGTTAGAGCGTCACCTGCTTCGGCCAGAGAGCTGTCCTCTTCGCTAGCGCCCCCTGTACGGCAGGATGAACCTGGGGCCAGCTTGGGGCGGAATTTGGCCGAGAGAGGGTGGAACCAAGTAGGGACGGAGGCGGGGCTTGCTCCTCATTGGTTTTGGGGTTACACCTGGAGGATTACATCTCTCCTAAAATCTAACTTCTGAGCGATTACTATGTGCGGAATACTTCCAAGGGCTTTCAACAACCCTATGAAATAGGTTTTATTATTACCCTCTTTTCACATATCAGAAAACCCAAGCATAGTTTACCCAAGGTACAGGCTACTAAGGGTACCTGGGGCTTCTAAGGGTACCTGGGCCTTCTAAGGGTACCTGGGTCTGAGCCTAGGCACTCTGGCTTCACAGCCCAGAATGTGCCGTACTCTTACCAACTTTTGGCAACCTAAAAGTTTACTACGTTATTTGACTGGTAAACCCTATCTCTTTCAAGTCTTGCAGTAACCGGGCCATTTCATGTAATCCCGAAATTTAGTGATACGAACCCGTATCCCAGCACTTGGGAGATAGAGGCAGGAGGATCAGGAGTTCAAGGTTATCATCCAATACATAGCTAGTTCCCAGGCAGCTTAGGCTACATGAGACCCTATCAGAGAGAGAGAAACAGAGAGACAGAGAGACAGAGAGAGACAGAGATTGAGACCTGCTGCCCAAACTGTAGAGCTTTGGCTCCAGTTTCTCACTGCTGGGAGTTCCATCCACCGTAGACTCATGAGTGTGACTTCTTGCAAATATTTCTAACTACACCTGTCTGGGACAGACTTGTCCAGGCTTCCAGCGGGCACCTCTTGCCTATCCTGAGTCCCAGTTTTGCATCTCCTGTGTGACCTCTAGTTGGCTGACTCCTTCCCATACCTGTTTCCCTATCTGAAGCAGAGGTGAGACAGAGTGTATGAGCCCCTAAAGATCTGCTCATGGAAGAACAAATAATTCTAAAATAAGGAATGCACAATCAAGAATCAGACACACCAGGTGTGACCTTGTGCATGCCACTTAACCTTCAAATCTCAGTTCCTTATCAGTAAACTGAAGGATGTCACCCACCTCTAGAGGAGATTGACATCATAATTATATGTGGTTACAGATAGGCTCCAAGAGAAGTGGTATGCACATCCTAGTTTTTCCTAAATTAGAGCTGAACCACGGGACAAATAAGATGGAACTCCTTAGAAAGGTGGCTTTGGATGAGGAATATGACATAAAAGTAGGCGCAAAATTGGGTTGAATGGATGTAATGCATTTGTGTGCACATTCTTTTCTTTATTTTGCTGTACCATGACAATGGAATATAGAGCCTTGAGCATGATAAGCAAACCCTCCACCAATGACCTATGTCCCCAGCTCTGTTATACATTTTAGTTTTCTTGGATTGATTTTTATTTTAAATTGTTCTTTATTTCTACCTTACATGTATGAGTCTTTTGCCTGCATATGTGTAAGTGCACCCATGTCATGCAATACCTGCAGTGGCCAGAAGAGGACGTTAGATCCCCTGGAACTGGAGTTACGGATAACTGTTGGCCACCATGTTGGTGCTGGGAACTGAACCAAGGTCCTCTACAGGAGCAGCCAGTGCTCTTAACTGCTGAGCCATCTCTTCAGCCCTGTGTTGTTTTGAGACCGGATCTTGCTATGTAGCCCTGGCTGGCTGGTATGCACTATGCATCAGAGGATAACTTTGAACTCCTAATCCTCCTGCCTCTACCTCCTGTATGATGGGACTACAGGCATGTATCACCATGATTAGCTCCCTGGTGCATATTTTAAAGAAAAGTGGGGACTAGAGAGTTAACTCAGCAGTTATGAGCACTGGCTGCTCTTGCAGAGGACCTGGGTTTAGCTCCCAGCACTCACATGGTGGCTAACAACCGTCTGTAACCCCAGTTCCAGGGGATCTGATGCCCTCTTCTAACCTTTGAGGGCACTGTACCACACAGGTGCACTTACATACATGCAGGTAATACACCCTTACACATAAAAAATATAGTAAATATTGGTCAGGTATGGTGATGCACACCTTTAATCCCAGCACTCAGGAGGCAGAGGCAGGTGGATCTCTGTGAGTTCAAGGACAGCCTGGTCTACATTGTGAGTTCCAGGACAGCTGGGGCTACAGAGTGAGACCTAGCTCAAAAAAAAAAGATTCTGAAATATAAAATAAATGCATAGGCTATGGATGTAGCTGAGTTGGTAGAACATTTAACCTAGCACTTACAAAGCCCTAGATTCCATCCTCAGCCTGGAATGAACTAGGCCTGGTAGCACATCTGTAATCCCAGCTCTCAAGAGTTGGAGACAGAAGGATCAGAAGTTCAAGGTCATTCTTACTACATAGCATGTTGAAGGCCAGCCTGGAATACAGGAGAACCTGTCTCAAAAATAAGTAAATAAAAGTAGAAATGAGACCTGCCTGTACTAGATTTAGGAACACAGAGCACCAAGTATTTCTAAATTGTCCACTAAATTCTGACCCAGAGCTCTTCATGTCTCCTCTTGATGTTCCTTAAAACTACCTAGTGCACAAAAAATTACATTCTGTGTAATTCCAGCCATGTGACTTCCTGGAAATGGAAATCTATGGAGATAGTAAGCAGTCAGTGGTTGTTGGGAAGAGCAAGGAGGAATGAACAGATGGAAAATGGATTCTTAGCTTTGTCCTCTTGTCATCTCAGCTAGAGAAATGGATGTATCTGAGGCCCTGAAGGTAGAGTCAAGTACATGTGTGTGGTAAGGGGAGGGTTCCAGTAGAGGATGGTCCTTTAAACCTGAAACTGAAGCACTAATACCCTCAGGAGCCTGGTCCAGTCAGTGCTACAGAGAGTACTTATAGGCCTCAGGTGGGCTCCTCAGAGGGGACAGGCATGTCTACTTACCTTCAGGAAGGTTGTATGAGTGTACCCACCTGTGTGTGGTAAGGGTAACCCTTAGGTATGTAACCCCTGAGAAAGCTGGACCCTCAGTGGCTCCAACCACCCCCCAGATGAGATCACCATGTGGGCTGAGTGAATAAGAGAGCAGAGACCCAGTAAAAACATGTAGGTCCAGAGCCTGCAGACATCCTTTGGCAGGGACCAGAGTCTCCCAAGGCACAACCAGACCTGCTGTTTCTAGGACTCAGCTCCCATATGTGGTAGTGTGGTCTGCAGCTCTGGTTTTCCCAGATGCCTTTTCATACATAGGGCTTTCAGTTCTCCTAGGAGCTGGTATGGGAAGGCCTACGTGGGGGTTGGTGAGCAAGAGATGTGGGCTCTAGCCTGGCACTTTTTTTTGGGGGGGGGATCTTTTTGAGACAAGGTCTCCCTGTAGCCCTAGCTGACCTGGAACTCACTATGTAGATGAGGCTGGCCTCGAACTCACAGAGATCTGCCTACCTCTGCCTCCGGAGCGCTGGGATAAAAGGCGTGCGCCACCACACCCAGCTAGCTGAGCACTTTTATGCATCACTGTTCTTTGGGCCTCAGTTTTCCCACCAGTGTGCCTGCTAAAAGGATTAAATTCATGGGAAAAGGACATCAAGCGCCTGTGATTCTTTTCAAAGTTCTCAGGGTTAGGCCTTGATTGAGAGTGGGGCCATCTTTGACAGGCAGAGGCAAGGGCATGGGCAGGGAAGTGCCCTGGAGGGTTGGCCAGGCCAGAGGCACAGTGGGGAGGCAAGTGAATAAAGTAGATGGGTGGAGCCTGACTCAGTAGAGTACCCAGAGAGACCAGCAGCAGGCCTTAGACACTGGACTGGGATCACTAGGCAGCTGGTCAGGGCAAGGGCTAGAGACCAATGCAGGAGTAAGAGGTAAGGGCTGAAGTTGAGGGGCTGTGAGGATGGGAAGGGAGTAGAAACAAGACCCACCCACTTATCAGTCCGATATTTGAGAACTATTGCTTGGACACCAGCATCTCTCCTGGAGAGGGCCTGGTATTGACCCTCACAGGAGCATAAGCCTTTGCATTTCTCAGATGGGAATACTGATCACCCATAAGACAGCTTCTAGCTTGGCCATCTTCTTGCTCTTCAGCGCCCTGATCAGTCTTTGGCTTCATCTAGATGGAAGGTCACAGCTAGGCTAACAGTATCCACACAGGGACCTCCTTAGCCACAGTCTCCAGGTTTCCCTCCTAAGGATCTCATTTGCTAAGTATTTAATAAACCAGGCTTCTGGCCCAAGGACTAAATTTCCTGTCAGGAAGGACCCATGAAGGGACTAATAAAGAAACTGATGCTTCTGCAATGACTTGCCAAAGGTGACAGTTACTAAGTAGCAGAGCTTCCATTCAAACTCCAGGCTGTCACTTTCTATCACTCGCCCTGCTATGCATAGGGTACTAGTGCCCGAGGCTAAGAAGGCATGGGGAGCACACTGGGTAGGCCACCTCTCCCACTTGGCCTTCCTATACCCCCATGAAACAGGAAGTATGTGCCTGTGCTCATGGCCCTGGTTCCCAAGCACCCAATTCTCTCCAGGCAGGAGTCCTGGAACCTAAGCTGCATCTGGGACAAGAGCCTCTCAGCCTTCCCAGACCACCTTTCTCCTCCCTCCACCTTACCTCTCCCCACTTCTTACTACTGTGCTGCTCAGGGACCTATGATGTCTCAGAACCTTCCAGAAAAGTGAGCCAGGTCAACTTGTCCTGCTGATGAGAAAGAACACATACCTAGATGAAGAAAATATACAAAGCCTTTTTTAAACTCACGGGCTTTTATTTTTTTTTAAACTCACTTCCTAGGAAGTTAATTTTTAAAACACTCTTATGGAGTTTGTTCAGTTGTGCTACATTCAAAAACAATGATGCCAACCAAAGACCTCACAACAGGTGACAGTGAGCACACCTTCCTGGCTCTGCTGGGGAAAATGAAGCCAGCCCTCCAGCCTTTTCCAAAAGAGAGTCCCATCCATGAAGCTTCCTGGAGCTTTTCTATTCAATGACTGGCATTTAACTTTCCTTCCATTAACTCTATAAAAGTATTCTTAAAGATAGGATTAAATGATTTTCTAAGCCCTGGGTTACACTGGCAGCCATAGTGCAGAGGAGCTGGGGTGAAATGGGAGCCCATTAACGGGCTACTTTCTACCCCTGGCCTTAAGTAGACATAGAAACTAGATGCATGTGCCAGTACAAGACATGCGAATGTGCCACGTACAGCAGATGGGCATGCACACGCATGTGCCTGTGATGGCACAATGTACACCCACGGGCACAGAGATGCAGTGGGATGCTCCCTCCCAGCTTCCCTCTCCAATCTAGCCCTTCTGAAACCTGAAACCCATGGGATGCTTTTAGAGGGGGTTCCTGAGTCCTGCTTATCTCCCTCTGAGGATCAACCTCTATGAGCATTGTCAGTAAACATCAGACTAGTCAGACAGTTGTGGAATCTGATGAGATGACACCCACTCCAAACAGGCACCGACCACATGTATGTCCCAGCTTTGCCTGTGCAGGGTGACTGTCCACTGTCCTGTGCTGAAGCAACTGGCAGAAGGACCACATGCCTGGTAGGGTGCATATCCTGAAGGTCCCTTGTCTGGTGATGCCTCCCACCTGGGTAGTTTGTCCTTCATCATAGGCATGTGATGGTAAGCCAGTGTAGGATCAGAGCTTGGATTCCAGTTACTTCAGCATCCACAGGGCCACAGCTCTGGGAGTCCATGGCCCTTGGTACCATTCCACATGCCTCTTCTGCAGCTTTGGCTCTGGGGATCCACAAAGGGAGGAAGGGAGGTAGGCAGGGATGGTGTGCTGCTCCTGGCTCAGGGCTATGCTCTGAGCTTGATTCAATTCAGCCCTTTTTCTGGAGTACAAAACACAGTCCATGAAGTCAGGTCCAAGTGACTGCCAAATAATGGCGGGTGTGCCAGGAACTACCCAAAGGTGGAGAAAGCCTCACTAGATGTTCCCTACCACAGCTGCTCTCACCCAGCCCCCAGGTAAAAGACAATAAAAAAGGAATCTGAATTCTCCAATATGGGTTCTACCCAGCGAGGCCAGGCACACATCAGAAGTTGGAGCCTTGATACTGGTGATCTGAGTAGACAGGCACTCAGGTACCTTCCATACAGAGGTAGGGTGACCAACCCTCGTTGTGGTGCAGCAGCTGGGCAGACCCAACCAGCACTGTGGGAGTTCTCTGAAATACAGACCACCAGGCCTCCACCTGCATTCTTGGTCTCCAGTCTCCTGCCCTAGGCCTTAACAGCTAGCCAGGTAAGGTTTTTAATATTCTGCAGGCCCCAGCTTTCCCAGGACAGAGAGAACCAGGATCCCCTAGGCCCCAAACAACATACATTCCAATCCTGTCCCTGGACATGCCTGTGCACACAGGTCATGCAGCACAATGGGGGTGGGGGGCTGGGAGAGGGGCTGCAGTCCCCAGCCCCCTGCCCGCAGGGGCGTCTATTGCATGAGAGCAGTGGGCCTCTGGAGGTGCGGGATGAGCATGCTGCCGATGGCCCTGGGCACATGCAGACTCAGGATGCAGTCTCATCTTCCTGGACTCCAGGGAGCTCTGGGCTTTTGCTCCCTTCACCACACCCTTGTTTCCTGTTAGGGAATACCAGGGGCAGAGGAACCCCAGGGGTCAGAACATGTTCACAAGAGACACTCTCACATACATTCATAAATGCATGGGTATCACAGTCTTTCAAATCCCCCCTCCACACTAGGCCTCTTTGGGATCCCCTCTTGGTTTCCCTGCCCCCAACCTCAACCAAACCCTTGTATGGCTCCTCACTGCTCTGATGAAGTTTAAACTTCTGAGGAGCCTCTCAGGACCAGCTAACTTCCTGGTGTCCTGGAAGCATTAGCCAATTCAAGGGTCTTCCACATTGACTTTGATTGGCCCCCAGTGGGGCCTTCAAATAAGAAGGGCTTTAATTCTGTATTTTTTTTGTCTCTTTCACAAGGCAGAGTTCCTATCAGCCTTGAATCAGTTACTAATTCAAGAGATTCCTGGATCTGATCATCTATCACAGTTCCCAACCTCTGTTTTTAAAATAGCCAATGAAATGACCAATCCCCCTGAACAGGACTAAAAATATCCCAAAGCGTAAAAACTAGGGTCCACCAAAGACCCTAAGGACCTTGATGATGTACTTTTTTTTCTTTTCTTTTCTCTTCTTTTTTTTTTTTTTTTTTTTTTTTTTTGAGACAGGGTTCCATATAGCCTAAGCTGGGTTCTAATCACGTACCTAAGGATGGCCTTGAACTTCTCTGATCCTCCTACCTCCACCTCCTGAGAGCTGGGATGACAGGCATGTGCTACTATACCTGGTTGGGTCACCAAAGTCTCAAATTTAATGGAGGAAAGTACTGAGCCCAATCCTGGACAATCAGTTTCCAGGAAACAGATGTTAGACCTGTTCTTTTAACCAGAGACTGGCTTATTCTACCGCCAGGGGGCGCTGGGCCACAGGTACTGAGCTGGAGTGACCAGATGGCCTGTTTGCTGGATGCATTCTTAATTCAGCTTGTTGTCCTGACATAATTATTAACAGCCTCTTTTTTGCTCTCAGAATTGGCTCAATTTGTTTGATAAATTCTATATGAACCCTGCCACCAAGTGCAACTTCAGCATCAGGGCCCTGATACCAACTACCTCACTGAAGAGACAGGACAACCATAGACAACAGGTCTCTCCAGGGACCACCTCTCACTACCTTCTAAGCAGAGGCATGAGAGCATCTGTACAATGTCACCTTTCACCTCCCTGGGGACACACCTTCACCACAGGGCAGGCTGGAAGCACAGCTCCCCCTAAGCCCTCTCCTTGGAGATCCTTTCTCAGGCCAGAGGCAGTGTCGACTGCTCCAGGACCTCATTCTGGTCTATGACTCCTCACAGTTCTCTCTACAACAGTCTGTGCACAAACTCTAACTAGCATCCCAAGCTACATTTTACTATAGCAGAAAAACTAAGACCAAGACTGCTTTCCTGGCCCCTCCTACAAAGTGGTAAACCCACACGTGGGTATGCTGAATAACTTCAGTTGACACATCTGGGTAGAGGGAGCCTCAACTGAGGAATTTCCTCCATTGGACTGGCCTGTGGCCATGTCTATAGGAGCATTTTCTTGATTGTTGAGTGATGTGGGAGGGCCCAGCCCACTGTGGGTGGTGCCACCCCTGGGCAGGTGGTCCTGTGTTATATATAAGAAAGTAGGCTGTGCATATGCCAGAGGAGCAAGCTAGTAAAGCAGTGTTTCTTGGTGGTCTGTGCTCTAGGTTCCTGTCCTGAGTTCCTGCCTTAGCTTCCCTGAATGATGGACTGTGAGCTATAAGCCAAATAAACCTTTTCCTCCCCAAGTTGGTTTGGTCAGTTTTTATTACAGCAATAAGAAAGAAATTAAAGCTGGGTGTGATGGCACACAACTTTAATCCAAGCACTCGGGAGGCAGAGGCAGGCAGATCATTGTGAGTTCAAGGTCAGCCTGGTCTACATAGCCAGCTCCAGGCCAGTTGAGGATACAGGGAAAGACCCTGTCTCAAAAAGACAAAAAAAAAAAGAAAGAAAAAAGAAAAGAAAAAGGATAGAGCCCTTAGCAAACACCTCGCCCGGTCAGCCAACTTGTATGGACAAGTATTCATAAAGCACTGGCTGTGGGGGGCATGAGCCACTCCGGAAAGCCGTGAATACTCAGCCTGGGCCCAGGGAAAGTGGGCAGAAGTACTCATCCTTCCATGGGTATCAGTCTTCTATTAGAACCTGTCTGCAAACCTCTAACTGCCAAGGGCTGAGGGAATCACAGATTTGAAGCCAGAGAGCCAGTGAGAGAGTATGACTGCACCAAACTTCCAAAAGAAGGAAGACCTTCTATTACAGGGAGGGCTGAAGGATGTCTTCATCCTTAGCAGTGTGTGCATGAGGGGTGCTGGGCCTAGGCTAGGGCAGGAGTGGTTCAAAAAGGTCCCTTTAGCTTCAACTAGTCTTGAGGACAGAGGTGCAAATGAGGCCCTGCGTGAGGCCCTGCGTAGAGACTTGGCTGTATTCCTAGGCCCTGGAGATAACCCCACACTAGTCCAAGTGGAGTATGTGCATCAGCCCATACCCCACCCCAGGGAGCAGCCCACAGACCCCAGCCCACTGTACTTACACCAGTAAGTTTCCTGGAGCAGACATGGATCGCTCTTCCCTGCGTGTCTGGGGCTCAAATGGGTTGCCAAAGGAACGCTTTCTCAGCATGGACTTGACTAGAATCTGGAGAGCACAGGTCAGCATGGGGAGCACAGGCCTGGACATCTAATCCCCCTGCTAGGCAAGCAGTTCTGACTCCCTAGAGGGTGGCTTCTAGGAGTAGGGTGGGGTCTAATTGACACTCAGGGGTCTGGAGCCATTTCTCCAAAGTCCTCCAGGTCTTTTACTGTCCCACCTGGGCACCAGTGTGGTGCCTGGGGAAAGAGCAGCAGTTCTGTGCATGTGTATAAGGAAGGAACTACTTCTTCCTGTCATGATGAGTGCTGCTGCTTTGTCATCTGTTCAGTCTCAAGGGTCTCCCTGCCATCAAGCTGAGTACCATGGCCTTTCTCCACCGGATCCAGTGGAGCAAGGGCTTCCACAGCCCTGCACTATGGCTGGCTAATCAGATGTCCCCACTGTTCCCCCAAAGGCCAGAAGCAGAGCATGTCTCAGGCAGTGACAAGAGAGCCCAGCCCCTTACTCTTACCACTGTGGTCCAGCTGGGGATGAGCTTGACTGAGTTCTTCACCTCCTCCTCCGTCACCTCTACCATACTACAATGCTCCTCCTCTGAAGGGAGGGACTCCTCCCCATGCTTGGTCACCCAAGGGTGTAACTGTGGAGCCCAGGAGAGAGGGAGGAAGAGTCAGGGCCATAGGCAGACAGATACCAATCAGCAATCAGCAAAAGCCTCTAGAATCTCTGGCAGTGACCTTGAAGGAGTCCATAGCCCACAAACCCAGAATTCAAACACGACACACATATGCCTCAGTGTAGGTCTCTCCAGAAGGGGAAACTGAGGCCTATCTTTTTTTCTGTCCTGGCCCAGCCCAAGACCTTGTGCTCCCCCACCTTGATGTCTGGTACCCCAATTCTTGTTTCAGGATTTTTGTCTAGCATCTTCAGGATGAGGTCCTTGAGCTCCTCGCTGACCTCTGGCCTAGGCAAAGGGAAGGAAGGAGATGAGGGTGCTACCATTAACAAAGACCTTTTTCTCCACACCCTGGGACCAATGATAGCCTAAACCAAATTCCTAGGATGGAAGAGCAGGAGGTTCCTATGGTACAAGGCCAAAAAGAGTTTCAGAACCAGTATGTGGACCTCCTTGCCTGAGTAGGAAGTAGTCTCCCTTGGGGCAGAAACCACACTATACAGAGTTTGGGGATCAGAGCTGGATACCCCCCTAGGGCAGAAATGATGAGGGTAATGTGAGAAGAGCTACAGGACAGACACAGGGCATTCAAACTCACTCATCCTATTCTTTCCTACAGCTGGCCGGGAAAGATCAGCTCTCATTTGGCAGAGGGAAAAATTGAGGCCTGGGAAGGTTACCAAATTGATACCTTGCCACTTAGGGTGGCAGAGCCCGGTAAGTACATAAGATTTAAAACTATGGGTAGGGAAAGAGCAGAACTCTCAGCCCCACAGCAACCTGGACCATCTCCCTAAACCCAAACTTCTTTGCTACTTATGTTCTTGGAGCACCCATATGTCCCAAACTGGGGAGCAGGAACCCACTCTCGAGACTGTTGAGTTGGGGTCCCTCTTTGGAAATTCGTGCACTAGAGAGAAGCATATCCTTAGCAAGAAGACAGTAGGAAGAAAGCAGGGAGTCAAGAAATTAAGACAAAAATGGGAAATTGATCAAATCCTGTTGGCTAGTGCTCAGTGGAGTGACCCAGTGGCAGATGAACAGATAGCAGGACCCAGAGGTGAACACCATGGCCAGGATGAGATCTCAGTCCTGTGGGCTCTGAGAAGCCTCTGGCACTGTGAAACTGGAGACACAGTAGACAGTAGATTTGTTGTGGTTTGTTTGGTTTTTTGTTGTTGTTGTTGTTGTTTTTGAGACAGGGTCTCCCTGTAGCCACAGCTGGCCTGGATTTGCTATGGAGACCAGGCTAGCCTCGAACTCACAGAGATCCTCCTGCCTCTGCTGGGACTAAAGGCATGCACCACCACACCTGGCTAGATTTGTTGTGTTTTATCAAGGTCAGCACAGCCTCAGCCTGATCATGTTGGGTGGACTGCAGGGTGGCCAGGGAAGAGGCAGTTAAGACAAGTTAGGAAAGTGGCTGAGATCTAAACTAGGCAGGGGCACTGGTGGCAGCAGAGCCCAAAGACAGGGAAGAGGTGGGCTTAATGGGAATTGGGAACCAGACAGAAAGTAGGTATAGGAGGGAAGAATCATAAACACAACTCCCATTTCAATTTCTGTCCAGCCCCAGCCACTTGAGCAGATGGGAGAAAGGCCTTAGAAAATAAAGAGCCAGGGAACCCAGGCTGCTGCCATGGCAGGCAGAACCACAGCCAGAATGGGGTGGTCCAGGAGGATGCCCAGCCAATCCCAGTCATGATGGAGGAGTGTAGAGGACATGGTAGCTTCAAATCACAGGCCCCTGGCAGCTCTCTGAGCCTCTACTTTTCCACCAGTGAAATGGGTAGGACACCACTATTTTCGAGATATACCCTTTATCTCCATCCTATGTGGGAAGAGTGGACTTTGCCCAAGGCCTACGAGCTATGTAGGGTTGGTGCCACTGATTCCCATGCTGGCCTGCAACGAAGCTGTGTGACCTGGGCCTCAGACATCCCATCTGAACAATGAGATCCAACCCCTCCCCCATGTCTTGGAGACTCTCAGCTCCCACCCTCTGTCTGTTTCATGTCCCTCCAAAGGACCAGTAACCCTGATCCAACTCTGCAGACTGAGGTATGGTCCTCACAGAGCAAACACTTTGCCCAGACACCCTCCCCAAGAGTAGGCAGGAACCTCCATGATTCCCTGCATGGACAACTCACTCCTCAGGGAACACCACGGCCTCATTTTTTATCTTCCTGTGCAGGGCCAGGATGTACTCATCAATGAATGGGCACTGTGGGAAGGAGAAACAGACAGGATGGAGGCCTTGATCCACACTGCAGGGGCCAGAGGTGGGAAGCAGCTTAGGGCCCCTAGCAGATGGCAAGTGCTCTATTTAACTTGCTCAAGACTGGGCATGCAGCAGGGACTCAGCAAATCTAACAGAGCAGATGAGTCGCTGAGGGAATGAGGCTGCCTGCACCTGTCTCCAGCAGTACAGCTGCCTGCACCAAGGCCTGGCATTTGGAACATGCTCACTGGGCTCCTCCTGCCCTCTCAGTGTGTTCACTAGGGCCAAAGCACCTATGGGCAGGGATCTTGGTCACATCAATATTAGATGTCCCCAAGGCCAAATAATTTGTTGAATGAATAAATGAGTAACTACGTGAATGAAGGAATGAATGGCATCAAGGGGAAGGGGGATAGGGAGCACTCTGGCTGGTAGGAAGGCCACAGCATCAATACTTCCTCTTGGATGTTTGCTGTACCATGACTCTACATCAATCCCTCCCAAGAGGATAAGAGAGACACCAAAAGCCTTTTCTCCCTCAACCTTCCTGGACCAGGTGGGCTCTTTCAAAAGCTACTTTGTTTAGGGATACCAAGGAAGGACCTGCATCTATCACCCATACCTGGGCTCGAGGCGTCACACTCTCAGCTTTGTACTTACCTTCCCATAGACAAAACAGTACAGCGTGACCCCAGTGGCCCACACATCCAAGGCCTAGAAAGAAACACACTCACATCAGTAAACATGGCCACCCCCTGCATACCTAGTTCTAATGGGCTATGGGAGAGGCCTGCAGGAACCCTCCTCCCCAGACACTTGCTCCATGCTAGACTTTGTGCTGAGCATAGGGGGACACAAAGGCAACCAGAACAGACCTGTTGAGCTCCTGAATGTGTACTTTCAAGGGACAGTTGTTTTGAACTCAGCAGGTGCAAAGCCTCATTCATCCACAGGGTTATCTACTGCCTCTATGAGACAGATGTACCCCCTGCCAACACAGCAGTATGTATTGAGCTCATGTTCAGTAAGTAGCTCTGGCTTCAAAGGGTCCACCACTTCAGCTAATTTAGAAGACACCATGCACCTTCTCCCTGAGCCCTGCCTGCCCCACCCCCACATCTTCCAGAAACTCCTCTTGGGCCCACATCAGGCTCCAGGTGGGATCTTCATGTTCCCTTGACACAGACACCATTATCATTATCATCATCAGAATCTAACTGGGGAGTACCAGGCAAATACAAACTGGAAGCTGGAACATGGGGAGAACACAGGCTAGCGAGTCTGTAATCCCAACACTGGAGAGGCAGATGCAGAAGGATCAGGAGTTCAAGGTCATCCTTTGCTCCACAGCACATTTGAGAATAGCCTGGGCTATGTGATACCCTATCCCCATCCTACTCCTGAAAATAAAAGAGAGGAACTCCTCCAAATCAGAGGACACCAAGGAGGCAGAACAAGTAACCCTTGGATGGATGTCATCTGGGATCAGAAAAGAAAAAGTTACAAGAAAAATACCAAGCAAGCTGACAGAACTTCAATACCATTTCAGAACAATTTACATTTATCAGTGATAGGTTCTTGACCTTGGTCATTGTGCTTAGATTATGTATGAGAATGTCCTTGCTCTTGGGAAATAACCACTAAAGTATGAAGTGACAGAGAGAAATATTGTCTCCAACTGAACTTTTGAATGGCAAAAAAATGTTAATAAGAATATGTATAAATATATACAGACAATGAAAAAGCTCATGGGACAAAACTGATGAATCAGGATAAAAAGTATGTATTCCTTTGTATTATTATAACTTTTCTGTAAATTTAGAATCATATCAAAATATAAGGTTATTTTTATTTTTTGTTTTCTTTTGTTTTGCAATGTTGGGGACTGAACCCCAGCACACATACACTAGGCAAATAAATGTTCTACTACTGAGGTATGTGCCCAGTCCTAAATAAGAAGTTGAAAAAATAATTTACATCTTTGGCCTCTGATTGAGCTCCAAGCCCTACACTGCCCAACAGCCTTCCACCCTCCCCTGCGGGACAGGCAGAATTGCAGACAGAGGGCAGGCTAGCACGGGGGAGCACGCTGGCTGCAGTGCCCTTACTTAATGGAAAGTTGCTTCTGCCCTTGGGCAAAGCCCAAGCACATAGGCCCTCTGAACCAGGCCCAGGAATGGTTGACATTATAACACATCTACACGATGACACCAGAGAACCATACAATTGGGTTTATAATATATATA